TGATAATAACTTATAAGGTTGCAACATCATGTTGCAAACTTGTTGATTACATGTTGTAAACTTGTGCAAAGTAGTTTTTGAAATGATATGTTGAACATGTTAGTAAAAAAAACTAGTTTGCAACATTTATATTTCTTACCAACTTTGAATAACTCAATTGTCATGATTTTTACACTGATTTTTTTTTAGTCAAAAGTATTCTGAACATGTTTTTAATTTAGAGCAATTAATTAACATCATTTATAGTTGATGGAGTCCCTTTTTGCACTATAGGTAAAATGTGCTAGTAGACTAGTAGCAAAACATTTGGCTCGCAACCAGAAGGTTGGGGTTCAAATTACCTCTGCTGAAATTACTGTCTCAATCTATTTCTCCACCCAGCGCCTTTGTTTAAAAATTTTAGTTGTTAATGTTGTTTGTTAGTAAAAATGGTAATGTTAAGGATTGAGACAAAATATTTTTAAAAAATGAGTTGCTCCCTTGACTGAAATGGTCATTGGAGCAATAGGGAGGTGAATTTATGAAATTAAAAAAAAAAATTATTGTACTCATACAATTATAAAAATTTGGTATTTTGATCGATTTTTAAAAAAACCCAAAAAACCCAAAAAAACCCATTTGGGTTGGGTTTTTTTAAAAAACCCTGGGTATTTTCCAACCCTGATTGGTATGCATAACCTGTGCCTAACAGAAATGATACCCTTCTACCTATTCCTGTCAAAGACCATGAGAGATTATTGCAATAGATTGTTTGGGATTGTTCCCGCCATTATTAAGAGGAAAACGCTATATAGTTATTTTGGTTGCTTGTTCATAATGATACTGATCTATTACTTACAATGATGCTGTTGTTTGAAGATAATACTGATTTTTTTAAATATTTGTTGACTTATTATGATTTTTTAATAACTTGTTGATTATGTTCTATAAAGATATTATCCTGTATGATGTCCGAGAATAGACTTTTTCATTCACAGAAATAATATGAAGTGGGTTAACCCAAGCGCAAATTCTCCAACTCAATAAATAACCTTGAATAGAGTTAACGAAAGCAAAATATATTCATTCAAACAATATAAAGAGAAATAAGTAAAACATTAGGTAGTAGACAGATAGAGAGACGATGAACAGATAATTACACAAAACAAGAGGTGAAGCCTGAAGTTTATTCTATAATTTATTCTAAAATGTACCATTGAGAAAACAAGCATTTTGGATAAAAAAATAAGAAGCCATAGTTGTATAACCGCAAGCAACAACAAACATAATTTAACAAACAATATAACTATAACATAAGTTGTTATGAAACAGTTTGATAGTAATAGTATATGACAAGTCATAACCAATCTAATTATACTATTAAAGATTTACCAAAAGTCTTTTAAATTAAAAAGCCTTTTTTTTATAATTACTTACTTCTAGCTTGGCACTATTTCAGTGAGATTTTTTAAACTTTTGAAATTAAAAAAAAAACGTTTCACAATGTAAAAAAGTAACAAATGAATATTTATATATAAAAATAGGAAGAAATGCAAAACAAAATAATAATTATAAAATAATCATTCATTTTAATAAAAAAAGCGAGTAAAATAGAGTTTTAAAATTTGACCAAATACAACGTTCTTTTTAGCAATTTTTCTAGAAAATGTTATGATGCTTAAATAAATATCACAAAAACGACCATTGATGACGATTGTTTCTCTGATATGTTACATTTTATCATATCATATTTATTTATGATATGATAAAATGTAACAATGTAACAAAACTAAAACTGCATTACAGTGTAACAAAACTAAAATCTTATTATCATAATCATTTTATCTTTTCCATTTTTTATCTAAATATCGAAAAAGCCAGCGAAATTGCGAAGTTTCACTGCTCATGCGCTCATTTACACCTGCTGAGGTCTATATATGTATATAATACTAAAAATGTGCTGGCTTTAGTACATACATCAACTAACATATAGCCAGCTGCCGCAAAGGAGTGCTGCTACATCATTTGAGGGTTTTAGATGGGGCAACAATCTTTTCTTTCATTATTCTTAATTTTTTCTTCTTTTTCTGAAAAAACTGTATGCTATAAACATATGCAAAACTAGTAAGCATTTGCTGACTTAGTATATGCCATAGTAGACTTTATGCCATAGTAAGTTCCGAGTTCGATCCCCACCACATCCCTGGTAGTACCAAATTCAAATTGTTTCTCCGTGCAGTGGCCTTGTTCGTTGAGGTTCGTGTTTCGGAGTTATAGATTTAAGAGAGGGTTGTAACTGCATAAAGTAGCCTTTTAAAGCCATGGAATCTTTGAATTTTAATGATTTGATTATTCATTACCAAAAAAAACCCAAAAGATTTATTAAAGTGTATAGTTGTCTACAAATGTGATAAAAAGATTAAAAAAAAAAGTTGTTATAGAAAGTTTATCTTATATGAAAATTTTAAGAATTTGTGATACACTACAAGGGGAGAATTAAATGATCGCAAATTGAAAATTC